TTATATAACTTATAGATAATTACTGTTGTCCAATTGTGTGCATTGAAAATGTGATGACGAACTCGGGATACGACCCTCGGTTGACACTCATATCAAAGGGCATGTTAATTAACCTTGCACAGGAGCCTGTCATCACCTGCTACAATGCCTTCTCCTCCTTATCATCATCACATTATTATTATCATCATCATCATCATCATCACCTTCATCATCGCAATTATTATTTGCTAAAATGGGGGAAATCTATTGATTCAGTGTGTATAAATTCATTAATAGAAGTCTCGTAATGCACGTAAGTGCATTTCTCAGCATCTAGAAAAAACAAAACTCTGCGAAGCTAGGAGAACCCCAAGACTAACTGCAAACCACCCCCCCCCCCAAGTCTAAATTAATCTTCCAGCGACGGAACAAGCAAACATTAGGTTTTCCTCCCATAACCCGCCCACTCAGGGAACACATTATGTGCGATAGTCAGGGTAAAGCTCGGTTTTCATATAATCGCTCACCTTATCGGCGACAGTTGCCGACGTTATCATGAAGGTTCAACCTGGTTCAACTTTTCCGAATGCGTTGCAGACGCAGACGAATCAGGGCGCATTGCTAGCTGCCTTGCGCAATCGGAAAGGTACCCTGATTCGTCTGTGAACCACAACTGACACGAACTGTCGGCGATAGGGTGAACGATTCTTGGAAACCGAGCTAAAACTCTGGATCAACGTTCTGAGAGGTCCCTATTCTCAAAATTGTCAATTACCTCAGCCCCAACCATGGTGGGGGCAGTGAGGTGGACCCTCACGCACCCCCTACCGCCAAATCCTTCATCCGCCCCAGGGGTGTCTAAGAGAGGAGGAGCATACGAGGGAGCATAACTGCCGTCTGGAGGAAGTCAATAATTTTGTCGAGAAACACTGCTTTGAAAAAGCATTTTTACCTTCCGAGAGTGTCATTTCCGAGCGTCTAGAGGGGCCTATTCTTAAAATTTGCTCCAGGGGCCACTAAATTATATATAAATCATCAGAGAAAGGTAAATACAGTGTTCGAATAAAGGATATAATAATACATCGGGTTCGACTCCCGCCAGAGGCATTTTATTACACAATTTCTTTATTCACTTTTTTACAGGACTTCATTCGTTGAGAGCTATGCTACACGATGTATTATT